AAAAAAAAAAAAAAAAAAAAAAAAAAAAAAAAAGCCGCGATCGTGATCTGCGGCAGCAATTCGGCGGGAGGTCCTTCACTCCGAGCACGAGTGAGGGACCGTCCGCCGAATTGCTGGACGCGCCGTACCTCTCCGGAGTGGCTGCCCCAAACACCTGCTTGGCAAGCTGGTGCCTGGAGCTGGCCCTGCACACATGCGCGCACACACACACACACACACACACACACACACACACACACACACACCCCCAACCCCTCTGCAGGTCTCTTTTTGTTATAACAAACCCCTGGCTATAACAAATAAATGGCTTGGATCCAGAGGGGTTTGTTATAGTGAGGGTAAACTGTACTTTTAAAGAATAAAGGAAAACTCTTCCCAACTCATGAAAGAATCTGAAGGATCCTATGTATGGATGTGCATATCAAGAAAAATGTTAGAAAAACAGGAACTGAAGTAAATGCTCCCTATTTGGAACCTGAAAAGGGACTACCCATTACTCAGGCTCCTGATCTCGAAAATCTGATACCTGTCAGCAGTCTATAAAAATTCAACTGCAATATAGAAGCATGTACCTGTCTGCCATAAGATTTACTTTGTGGCAAAGTCTCTTGAGAACCTTTGCTAACAGCAGATCTCCATCAAAAGGCATTCTAATGAAATGAGTTTTCAATACCATATTTTCCTTCTATAGATTGGACTAACTTGTTTTTTGGATGTCACTTGCCATCATACCTCCAAGACACTAACAAAGAACTCACGGTGAGGTCAGCTAACCATTCTGCTGCCTTAGTCAAAGCAAATGTTTTATTTAAAACAAATGTATAGGAATTCGCCCTTAACTCTTGCAGCTACAAAAATAACTCTGGAAATCAATCCAGCATACATTGGTACCTGCACCCCAGTTTCTACTATCTCCAATGCCTGGCTTAAGGGCAACATCTGCTACTGACAGATCTTTAACGCTTGGAGTAACCTCGAACTGGAATGACATTTTCCTTCCCATGTTAGAAATGCTACTGAAGTATTTGTTCTAATTTTAAAAATCAAGAGCATTATTACAACTTATCAGAGTTGTAGCCACCCAAGAAACTGTTGCCCATATGGTTTATGTGACACAAGTTTAAACATCTTAGAAACATCTGGTTGAGATTTTTCAGCACAATCTAGAGTTTTTTAAATTTTAATGGAAACCCCTGTACTTCTTCAAAAATTTCAACTATCTTTATCTAGGAACTCCTGATGCTGATCCACCAACTTTGTCGTATATTTTGGGCAGGAAAAACTTTCTGGAGCTTTGCACTTAGAAAAGAATTACGTCCCCATATGTTTTCCCTAGTTCCATAATATCTACTCATCTTGTTCAGAAAGGTTTTCATATCCAAACATGTCAAATGGTCCAATTTAAACATGTTATTCAAGACTTTAACCTTAACTCATAATTCTCACATTGCAGCCTGGTACAAACAGAAGTACTTATAGGAAGTAATTGTCTCTTACTTGCAATCTGCTGTTCTCAGCCACATTAAGATAGTTGCTATATTCTAGTGCACTAACAACTGGGATTAACCCTACAATATTTTCATTTTATATCAGACAGCCTCCTACTGTAAGGGCACCAATCAAGCTAATCAAAAGGGACATTTTATTTCTCTCTCTTTCCTAAGTCTAGATTTTATATGAAAATGAACCACAACATGACTGTTCTTCCACTAAAGAGAAAAACCAAAACAAAACAAAAAACCAGGAGAAAAGATAAGGTATCAAATACAAATTTTAATGCATTTCCATGTGCTGATCAAAAAATTTAACATACTAGTTCTGGACTGGCTCTGCTCTATGTGACACCTCAGCACGACTATAGTGGAAATCTATCAACCACAGACTCCTAATAGAGCACAGAGAACCTACAGGAGTAGGCAAATTATTTTTAAAAAGCAATCACACCTCTTTCCAGAATAAAGCAGCTGGCACCACCACCCTCCTGAGATATGTGAAAGGGATTCTGAAAGTGACAGAAAAAGATTTCATCCATACTTCTCCCATAAAGATCTCACACACTCACCCAGGGCAATTCTATTTAAGGAGATCCTGCCATATACATAGCCTTGTTTTTAAATAAGAAGAAATTTTAAATAGTACGTCATAGAAATCGTAATGTGTCATTTATTTCCACTATTCATTGCCACTTTGTACTTCCAATTTTATTCCAATATTTTTGGACGGACTAGTCTGAGGCAGCAGAAGAACACAAAAACAGAAAGCAGCCAATAGTTATTCTGAGAGTTAACACGAATAAAAAAAAAACACAAATTTAATAGGTATAATATATATTATGCAAAGTCTCATTTCATATTGAAAGTAATTTCAAGATACCCCAAATGAACCTCCAAAACTTAGCAAGCTGTTTACTAACCTTTAACCGCCTCACCATCTCTTCTTTAGATATTTTATCAGAGATTTCTTTGACTCCTGGAGGATACGTAATTTTTCCATCATTGGCTCGTGTCTTTGAATGAGCCATGATTTCACTGTTTTAAGATCTGTAAAGAGAAAATCAAAATTAGTTAGTACTTTCACAAATCATTGTTTTTTAATCTATCTTGATATAACTTGCAATACAATAGACAGGGGTGAATACATAAGCCATCTGCCCCACTGGGGTATTATTTTATAGGCAGCGAGATAAATATGAAGGGCCCTAAATTTACCCTTCAAATAAACACTTGCAAGTCCAACTGAAGCCAATAGGAGCAATACCCTTATTATTGAGAGTAAAGTTGGGTCTTGTTTGTCTTTCAGTAATCAACAGTGTGACTATACAGACCCTAAGGTTTCTTCTCACATAATGGCACCCTAAATAAAGGAACCAAGAGCAACTGTTTTCTTGAGATATTTTAAGCCACCAAGACATTCTAACTGAACAGGACCTTCAGCAGTAAAACAAACAGCAATATAACAATCCCTCATACTTAAGTATAATTTGACCATTATACTTAAGATGCAGATAATGCTGCCTTTAGTTACCATGCTGACAACTTGATAAATCAAAACAATAACATGCTCCCTAGATCCTATGGGCTTCTAGGCTCTCACAGTAGAGCTCTCCTAAAAGGAACTAAACAAACAGTTAGAAAAACAGAAGTAAACAAGTTAAAGATGTTGGGTAAAATTTTCCAAAGTGCTTAAGTGATTTAGGAGACTAACTCTCAGGTACTTTTTGAAAATTTTACTTTTAATTTGCCAGTGATGTGTAAGAAGCTCCTTTTCCCATCCTAGAAGAGATGTGGAAAAACTCTGAAATGTAGCAGGAGCATGGGTAGTAGCAACAGCAGGAGAAGGGAAGAGGACAGGCCTATTGGGAGCTTTCTCCCATGCCCCTGCTCCAAACTTTGGGGCAACAGGCCCAAGGTTCCCATTTAGCCCCCAGGAACATGCTGACTAGAACACTCCAGCAGCACTTCCAGGGAACCACCTATAAGAAGCCCAGGGAAAACAGGAGAGAGGCTACACATCAACAGACTTTTACAACCTTTAATATCTGCAGGAAGGTGATGCTCATCTTTATTATTTGTATTGCCACAGCCCATAAAAGCTCTACTCATGGATCAGAACCCCAATGTGTTAGCTGCTGTACAAACACTGAACAAAAAAGTCCCTGCCCCAAGGAGTTTACAATCTAAGCACATGCAAGAGACAACAGGAAGAGTACAAGGAAACAATGAGACAAAATTTGTGACAGACAGTGGTCACAGCACATCAGCAGCCCAACCATCCTCAACCTTTTGTCTTTTTGTAGACATCATAGTTAAAGAGTTTTGAGGAGGGATTTGAAGGAGAATGAGATAGCGGATGTTTACAGGGACCACCTCCCCAGCATGAGAGGCAGCATGGGAGAAAGAAAAAAAGATGCTTGTTTGAAAATTTAACAAGTGGGCAATGGAGACTGACATCATGGGGCAACTGGAGGCAGGCATCAACAGCTTAATGCAAATGAGAGATTATAGGTAGGGTGGGGATTGATGTGAAGGGCCCTGAAAGTGAAGACGTAATAAACAAGGGGGAGCCACTGGAGAGTTGCAAAGAGAGGGATGACAAGGTCAAAGCAATGGGCTAGGGAAATTATCTTTGCAGTGGCACTCTGAACAAGGAAGACTACTGCAATATACTTGTCTTGGAGTTTGGCAATCAAAATGTAAGATGAAAGTGTGGTCAAGTTTTAATGTGTGGATGGGTAAGAAGGGCCATACCTTAGAGATGTTATGCAGGAAGAATCAGCAAGATTTAAATATAGCCTGGATATGAGAATCTAGACAGAGGTCCAAGCCAAAGATGAGGCCCAGATTACAGACCTGAGTGACAGGCAGGATCGTGATGTTGTCCTCAGTGATCAAAAAAGGAGGTAGTGGGGAGGGCTTGAGGGGGAAGATTGGGAGCTCTGTTTTTAGTCATGTTTAGTTGGAACTGACAGCAAGACATTTATAAGGAGAAGTCAGAGAAAGAGGCTGAGATTTCAGTCTGGACAGAAGGAGACAGGTATGGAGTAGAGAGGTAGATCTGTGAGTCATCAGCATATAAATGGTAGCTGAATTTGTGTCTGCGTATCAGATTATCCAGAGAAGGTACAGAGGAAGAAGAAAAGGGGACAAGGACAGAGACCTGAGTAGCACCTACAGAAAGCTGGAGATGTATGAGCAGAATCATCTAAAGGATAACCATTCTCCCCACCACCACTGACAAGTGGTCTATGTGAATACCTATTTTCCTCTCTCCCCCCAATCTCCACCCCACCAGGGGTTCTGTGTCCCCCCACTCCCTATCCACCCACTCCAAGGTCCCTCATTCTCTCTCCTCCCATGGCAGAGGCTGTGTACGAGCTCATTCCATACCAGTGGCCCCCGCCCATTCTAGTGTCCCTCATTCTCTCCCTCCCCCCCCCCCCCCCTGCCATCAGCTGTGTGCACACCTCCATCCCCCTTTTACTCTCTCCCCCACCACCATTATTCTTCTGTCTGGCTGTTATGTCATTCAGAATGTCAACATGTTAACTCTATTGACAGGATAAGCAAGGATACTGTTATGCAGAAAGCATTAATGGGTGCCATCACCAACTGTTTGATCTATACATAATTGTAGAGGTGCTTGAAGCCACTATGGCTGTGTTAATCAGATGGAAGGGGCTCCATTTGTCCTGCATTTTTCTCCTTTGTTTTCCCAAGATCAAAAGGGTTCTGGTCAGTGGCCACTGATGCCTAGTACATTCTGTGAAATGTTGAAATTATGGGATGCAGCATTCAAAAGTTAATGCATTACATGTAGAAAAAGGCTGTGGAGTTGAGTGTAAGGCCTTCCTAAGCAGGGCCAAAAATTTTCTATTGTTTGGAACCAGGTTATGCAAGAGCTCACCTCTTTCCCCAGGCCATGCTGTCACCCCTGAGATCAAAGAAGCATTCATATTGGAGCCCCCTTGATATAAAGTGAGAATGAGCTGCTGAAAGGTATTCACCACTGGGGTCCTTGACATTGGAATTTGCTCTCCCCACCATTGGTTCCCCAGACCCCAGATGTTAACATTCTTGGCACACGGAAAAGCTCACCTTGTCCCCACCCCCCCTCAGTCTTGAGTAATAAGCTAAGAGTTGGAGGAGTTTGATGGATATTTGTGTATTGGTCTTATAGAGGTTTTAGGATTCCAGAGTTAAGGCTGAGCTGAGTTTTTCACCTAACCAGAGACAACCCCACACACACACACACACACACACACACACACACTCTATATGAAAGACTGTGTCCTCCCCAAAATTACAGCATTTTTTAATTTTCTTAGAATTTATAAGTAAATGTTAGCTGATGAGTTAAAATTAATTTTAAAATGGGTCAGTGTCGGACATTTTAACTTCCCATATAGTTAAAATTCACTGAAACTTTGGCTCATAGGCTACATATGAATTGTTTTAGGGTTAACTGTTTTTTTGTTTTGTTTTTTGCCATTCTTCATAATAGAAATTTCTTCTTTAGCAGAGACTAAAGAACATTGTTCTACACCAGAGAATTCTACAACAGACTACCCTCTTTAATGGCTGACATCTGCTGCTATTTATCTAAATGGGAATGAGGCCACAGGCTAGGCTACTATAAACAATGATGGCCATTCCCTTCATTCACCTGCACCTCACAGAGGGCAGTCTAAGGCCTTGGCTACACTGGCGCTGTACAGCGCTGCAACTTGCTGCGCTCAGGGGTGTGAAAACGCCCCCTCCCCCCCC